AAATTTTTCCCGCGTAATTTCATAACTCGGGGATCTGAGAAGCTAGAAAGCTGAAGTTTTAATGGACTGTTCCCCGCCCAAGTAGGTGCTGATGAGCTCAAACCCAACTCCCGGATAAGCGTGGTATTCGCATACGGGCCCGCCAAGATTTTTCCCGCGTAGATTCATAACTCGGGGCTCTGAGATGCTAGAAATTTTCCCCGACCAAGTAAGTCTCAGCGAGCCCAAACCCAGACATCGGGCATGCGTCGTACCCGCGTTCAGGCCCCTGAAAGTTTTTTCTAGTAAGTTGCTAACTCAGGAGCCACGAAAACTAGAAAACTGAAATTTTAAGGGGTTGTTTTTTGCCAGTTCTGGCAGCCATTCTTAATTTGTTTAGCTTGAAGCATTTACCGAAAAAACCGATGTCGGTAGCGACAAAAATTGCGGGGAACCCTGCAAAACACGCATCTTCGCACGGGCAGCCCGTGCGTTGACCAATTATTAATACTTTCCGACACAGTGGAAATTTTGTACCTTTGCAACAGGTCTATCAGCTGTGGCGTTTAGTTTAATTTATCGATGTTTTCTTTTTTATAGATGACTCGCATGCAGCTGCTACAAGGTTGACGATATCCTACGATGCATTTATGTCGATAGGTAAACAAGTCAGGGACACGGTCTTTGTAAATGGATATGTGCTTGTTGTAAATACTCGTAAAACGTTCGCAAATCTCGAGCGGAGAAAAATTCTTAATGATTTGGCAGCAAAAGTAAGTGCCTTTTGTGAGAAGAATCGAAAATTGCATAAAGCGTTAAGACTTTTTATTGCAGCCGTTGATAGCGGTGATGTAAACACTTGCGTCTTTGCACTTTCGTTTTCATAACAAAACTTTCGGACGACGGACTTGCCGGACTGCCGGATACGAACCGATGAATATGTGCTTTCACTTTTGGTTCTGTTTTTTAAGACTGTGCATTAAAGAATGATGTGACGCAAGAGTTGTCGGAAAGGCTGTTCGATAAGATGTTGGAAATAGTCCAACATAAAACACTTGAGTTTCAGGTATGCAGAGTAGTTTTGTTCCTTTTATACAGTTTCTTAGAGTGAGGTTACATTTGAAATGAATTCCTCGATTACTGCAGTGTAAATAATTGCCCTCGTATCTTGGATACAGCATTGTGTATGTAACGTATTTCGCTCAGCATCAATTACACACTTCCTTTAGCGGTCATATTTCTAGCTGTGCGTTTTGTGGATTATCACAGCTACACAAAATGCATATTATCACACCCGCCTCCCCTTGTCGTGTATGTATGTATGTGTGTGCGTGTGTGTGTGTGTGTGTGTGTGTGTGTGTGTGTGTGTGTG